CTACGAAACGTAATGCTTCTGTTTGAATTGAATTAGAATCGAGCGTTTTATCGCCGGTCGAAGCACACCATAGACTCCGTTATCTCGCGCTGTTTCCCTTCTGAAGTACAGCACGCAAGAGCACAATTTGTCGAAGGGCGAGAAATTCCGCTGGAGTTTCGAGATTCAAATCGGAGTTTCGAACTTTAATTTTAATCCGAGAGCGCGTTCTCGTTCCATTTCTCTTGGCACATACTTGTACATATCTATCCGAGAATCTACTTGTCCTGTACAATCTTGCCCGTTCCAGCGTCGTTACTTCCCCCCAAGTATTAACGAGTGTTACGCGTTCTACGGGATCGTTCGTTTGTATCATGCTCGTTTTTAGACTCGATATCGCGCGGCAACGATAACGACGTAGCTATAACGCAGCTTATTATGTACTTACTGCGAAAAAACGATACTACGAAACCAGGAATGGGAGAAAAAGCGAGATGGTCGCATGTCCCGTGGATGTATGTATAGTTGTATTATAAGTGAGAGAGAGAGAGAGAGAGAGAGAGAGAGAGAGCGAGAGAGAGAGAATCATAGAAAAAAAGATAATTGAAGACGTTTCTAGAAAAAAGTAGAATCTATAGATCTTTTCTAATAAATTGTCACGTGTGTAAAAATGTTCCTCCTAAAATTTCTCTCTAATATTCCACTATGTAATGGACCAAAATATTCTATGTATTATTGTAGAATTATTGAAATTATTGAAATTTTCAAACATAAATATATCTGCACAATCGCGTCTTTGTTTAAATAGAAATCAATATTGTGACAAAAATATCTGTATCCTTTCAGTAATTGTACAAAATAAATTTGAAATTCATTGTATTGAAAAAGTTGGTAGATCCGTGCAATCGCGTCTCCGTTAAAACAAAAATCAATATTAATTTTGACAATAATATCCGTATCCTTTCAGCAAATCTGAAAGCTATTGTATTAACAGAATTTTAAAATGTTCGCATAATTAAGTCAAAGTATCACTGCGATTCTCAAACGATAATAATTAAGATAGATAGATCTATAGAACTATACATTTCCTCTAAACAGAAGTCAATATTAATTTCGACAAAAAAATCCGAAATCCATTCGACACAATTGAAATACAATCCAAATATACTGAAAAAATAAAAATTGAAATTTCTGACTCGATTCGTTATATTTCGGTTTGTGAAATATTTTTCCAGAAACGTCCTCAATTCACAGAGAGGTGGATAAAAGTGATTTCGGATACGAATGGTGCATCTAATCGAACAAAGACCACGGACTTCTACCAGAACGTGAAATATTGGTATATATTGTACCTTCGTAACCTTTTGGTATTATAAATTTCGTTATTATATCGCTTTTGGTATAACTGCGGTATTAATTACTGGTATGAAGAAAATTAACGCAATATCAAATCCATAGATTACGAAAGTGTGATTGAAAAGTACCAATGTAATAATAATACTGGTATAATATACAAACGGATAATATAATTCCGGTAAATAACATATAACGATACGGTCTCTGACAGACGAAAATACTGATGAAATGTTCTTCGCGTCGATGTCCGACGGATCGTTGTCGTTGCAACGCGCGAAACCATAAAGTTGATTTGTTCGAGCAAAACGCAAAAATTTAAAACATATCTCTCTGTGCTTGGACGCGAGCTCGCGCCCGCGATTAGAACCTCGTCTTTATCATTCCTTCTCTCCTAAACTTAACGCGTACATATATTTTTCCAATGCGACACTCGCGTCTTACTGTACATCGTCTCTGACCGTCTTTACCGTCTAGTAACGCTAAAAAAAGAAAAAAAAAAAAAGAAAAAAAAAGAAGATCGTCCGCGTGCACGCGCGTATTGGATGTGCCCGCGCCCGCGTCGTATCTACTGTACGTAGAAACGATCGTCGATCGAAATCGCAGACTGTATTTCGTACGTGTAAATGTACGTTGGAGACAATATGTATCGACGACAGGTTCGTACGATGTTCCCGTGGCGCGCTACAGCGACGTGCGAGCCTCAATCGTTTCTCTTTAGGACTCACCGTGTTCTTACCGCATATGTTTAACCTTGGTGGATAAATTTGACATTAGGTTGCTGCGGATGAAATCAGTTCGGATACTTCAAACGCCTTTGGTTCGTTTACGAACGAGACGTCTCGCGGTGTAGAATCATTCGCGAGGTGCTACGAACGAGATATCTCGTCAGACAATGTACGATGAACGAAGTAACTCGCATGTTTTTTGACTGATGTACAAGAACTCGATACATCGACTAATGATTTGGATAGAAGTCAATTCACCAAGACACGGCGTTTGTTAATGTAAAAGAGATCTTCATTGTTACGGACGAGATATCTCGTCCATAGCATCTCATGAACGAAATTGTAACACAAGGTGCCTCGTTTATAATAGTGAAGAGATTGAGGAGGAATTTTTAATTTGCAGTCTTCATTTTTTTTTTTTTGTTTTTAAATCGATTTACTAAGTTCAGTTCATATTTGAAGTAAAGTAAAGTTATAATTGCCTACTACAATTACAAATTTTTAATTGATCATTTCTTTATAGGTTTTCTTCTACGATAAAATTTTTAGTTCACAGCCAGTTTTCATCTTTTTTTGAAGATAATATCAATCGTATTATTATTCGTTAAATTCAATGCATTTCGATTATCGTGAAGTAAAATTATGATTTTTAATCGATCATTTTGTTGATAAGTTTTCCCCTAGTCCTCTAACTTTCTCAAATCATTAACAGATTATCTTTTCTCTTAGAATAGCTTTTATTAATATTATTACATAACATAATATATTAATATTATTTAATATCATGTTGTATAATGTTATTATTAATATTATTGTCAGCTTTTACCGCGTTCGATCAAAATTTTAAAGCCCCTTTAAAACACGCACTTTAGTTTAATGTTGTTTCCTGCTTTCACTAAATCCACATTTTCGTTACGAAACGATCGACGAACGTCAGTTACGTTATTTTAGCTTTTAGCTAATAAATGTTACTACAACTAGTGAATGTTATTACACGACAATGAATTTTGGATAATTTAATAATTTAATAAGTTAACCGTTTCATACGTAACAACCTAATAAAATAAGAACGAAAAGAGAATATCTATCTAGTCTTTTAAAGAAGAGAAACAGCGATTGTTCGAGTCTACCTATTCACTGTTCACGATCTTCGACCATTTCTTCGATGAGATTGAGCATTTTGTATCAAAAGGCGAAAAGTTCCTTTTAACAGGAAAGTGAGACCCATAAGATTGTGATACGATAATCGCAGAAACGTTGAAATTCAGCTTAGGAGAATGCTTGAGACACGGTGAGACAAGCAACCGATCAACCAAAAGAGACAGAGAAACGAGTAGCCTCGTGCTTTGCGCGCTCTTTTTGTGTACAGTTTCACTATAACGAGATGTCATATCAATGTAACCTAGACTTATTTAATATAACGCGAACTCGTATGCATATTAAAATCGTGCGTCATGTTTAAAAAAATAGCTCTTGTATGTTAAATAAAACGAGACTAAATAAAATTGTTGATATGTGATATATTGTACATGAATGTCCATTCTATAATCTCGTGACAGAACCTCCTACCTTTCTATTTTAATTTAATGGGCTTCTCTTTGTACAAATTTATATTGTTAATATTGCAAGGTTTCCACCGTTCATATAAACAAACAATCCTCAAACTATCAATATTGATAATTGATCGTCTTTACGTATAATAATGTTGAGAACCTTTGAATATTGACGATAAAATGTTTTAATAAAATTTAACACTTTAGTATTTCCGTTGTTTTCGAAGATATGAAAATATCTTGTTGACGAATATCGTTTAATATAGACCTTATTTGTGCTATAAATTTTGCAAATTTGAAATTAAAATATTTCTAAATTTAATAATTAATTAATTAATAGAATTGATCGCTAATAATTAATTAATGTTTCTTTTTATAGAGAATGTCAAACTGCGTTTATTGTGGATTAAAAAGATGATGGTGATTTTCGAAATTTCCGAAATTTTACCAGTTACAAAAGAATTATTACTA